GATTTTAGAATGTGTGCATACTTATCGGAGTCCGGTACTTGCCATATTTTTTAGCATATGACTGTGTAAACTGAGAAGTGATTTAGTAAGTTCTGGGTGTGGACGGAATGCCTAGAATTCATATTACGCTAATCAAGGCGATCACTTTACTCAAACTCAGTAATGTAAGAACTCACAGAGAAATGTTGTTTGCAGTGATACGACAATCAATAGTACTATAAATATTTCACAAGACATACACGCATAAATTTACGGTGGTAACGCTGAAATTAATACACGAGTTGTTTTGTGGTGACAAATAATTCAGGAAGAATTCAAATGAACGATATACAGACATTATATGTATAATAACGACTGGCAAATATCCATATTACTTGAACACAATCGTAAAAGTGATAACATGTTCTTACCCTCAGGTTTTTCTCTACATTTCAGTAAGGAAAAGTCACAAATACAACAGCAATGTATCCAACTCTTCTAATTAGAATGGTCTCAAACTTTTTCTTGTTATCTTGTACAATGATTTGTTATACAATCCATAATCATTCGTTTCGCTTGTCTTATTCTTTCCATTCGAACTACTAACTTTAAAATATACTTTATATATATATATATATATGCATATGGTGAATCGCTTACTCTAATGAACAGTGGTCGTTTTTTTAAACGCTTTTAGCCCTGGTGGTTTATATAGTGTGTGATATGTGGACAGATAAACAGTGGATTATCCTTCGTTCGGTGATATGGTGATCTAGGTCATTTTGGGAATATACCTTTCGGCATACGTCGCTTAAATACAGCGGGCTGGGGAACACGTAGCTGTTGTACAATGTTGGTGCCGTAGTCAAGCTGTATTCGTGATTGGTGCATCTGTGTCCACCTCGGCGTCCCTATTTCAATCTTAATATTACTGAGAAGTATAAAAGTGGCGGTAATATAACATACTGCGTAATTATTTATTTTCCTAAGAGTTACTTTCATGTTTTTAAGAACGCAATATTCAGTGAAGAGACTCTTTTTAACGAATTTATTATCAAGCTGTACAATCGTATATATATGGTTTTCTTAAAATATTATATTCGGTGAGGGAATTAGGTCAAAGGTGTGAATACATGAAATAATAATAGTAGTATGAAATGCAATTAAAATATCTGTGATTATAATCATAGTTTAATGTCAAGTGGCAAAATAATTAATGTTATAATGTCATACATAAGGTGCATATATTTTGGAAACGGGTACATAATTATAAGATTAGTAGACAAATATAAAATGTTACATAACATGGTGTGAAATTTGATAAGATAAAATTCAATATTGTAAAAATGAAAAAAATTCATAGATTAATAATTTTGGGTTTGAAATGACAAGTGGGTCATGTTTGATCACGGATTTATAGAAGTTGAAAACCAGGAAGTACTGGACAGCTGTTTTTTCCCAGTCACAAGTCAGGCTCGTAGACCATTCAGCCACGTAGAGCCAACTCAATGGCCCATGCATTTCAACTTCTATCAATTCGTCCTGTTCAGTACACCCTAGTTTTCCAATGGTTGTCTAACGGACATCAGTCCGCGAACGAACTCGAAACAAATCAAATCTCTACAAACAAAACTCCTGAAAGTTATTTTCAGGTTTTATTTTTTCTACCAACTGATAATAATAATAGCTGTCCTGGCATTTACATAACCCTTAAAAACACCCTGAAACTGTACAGCTTTGAAGTGAAGTTACGAAAAGAGTTTTTTGCTGACATATACCTTTTCAAATTTATATCACATGGTCTGTCTGTTTCCAACATAGAACTTTGCACATATGTGGGGCAATTCAAGTCGCCACACTCCCTCCTTGCAGCACACAAAGCAAGAGAAGAAATGCATAATAGAGACAGTAAACAGAGGTGTGAGACAAAGGACGAGTAATAACGAAGAACAAAACAGTTTCATTGGAAATCATAAGTCACAAGAAGTGGATGCATCTGCACCAGTGAGAACGATTTTGAGCCATATCACCAATTGTTTCCAACCATTGGTTTCTACAGTTCCGAGGACCCCAACCAATCAGGAAGTCTACACCTTCCTACGTGGTTTAGACTAACGGTTGTGGATTTCATTGACTGGTGCCATATTTTGGTTTGACCACCGCTACCTCTTTTTCAACCTGACCCTATGTCAGCTAACAATGCTAGTCGAGGAGGGCGATGACTAAGCATACATAATACATGTCCTAACCATCTCAATCGACGTAGCTTCACAGCCTCATCGATTGATTTCCCCTCCTTACCTAGAACTCGACCAACGCCTAACCTCAATATTCCTCACTTTATTATACCACTTCACACGGGAGATAGAACGCAGGCACCTATGATTAAAGACACCTAATCGTTTCACGTCTTCCACTCTCAGTGGCCAGGTATCGCTCACACGCATACAGGAGGACAGAGCGGACTGATGAGCAATGCACTCGCCCTTTGGTTGATAGTCGGATATCATGTCTACGCCGGAGACGGCGTAAACTGGCATATGCGACACTAGCCCGCTGTATCCGTGTCAAGCATCGCCAGAGCACCTTTCGGTCGACAGAATCGAATGCCGCCTTTAGGTCAAGAAATATAATGACTGTTGGACGCCAGTAGGAATGCCTGTATTCTAGAATCTGTCGAAGGGTGAAGATATGATCAATACACCCTCTTCCTGGTCTAAAGCCTGCCTGGCTCTCTCGTGTTTGTGCCTCCCAAGCACCGCTTAGTTTATGTATAATTATTGAGTCTAGGACTGTAGACACCACCATATTAGTCAAGCTAATCCCTCTGTGATTATCACAGGAAGACTTCTCTCCCTTCTTGTATATGGGGATAATCTGTGACTTACACCAACCTGACGGGACTTCCTCTGATTCTCAGACGTTGCCTGGTACTTCAGTTAATGCAGACAGTAAACTGTCTCCACCGTACTTAAACACCTTCGGAGTGATTCCATCGGGTCCCACAACTTTCCCTCGTTTCAGCCTAGTGACAGCATTAGCAACCTCAGTTAGGGACGGCTGACCTATTTCTATGTCCCATTCAGGGAGGTGTTGGATGCTGGGTAAGTTGTGCTTGGCTGCAGGTCGATTACATTGCCCCAACGCTCCAGTCGTCTATCCTGAGAGCTAATTATGGTGCCATTTTTCTCAGAGGTTGTTTCACTTACCATTTGCCTTTTACCACCTGTTTCCCTGATAAGCCTAAATAGTTGTCTGGTGTTGCCAATCACCGATGACTTTTTCATCTCTTTCGCTTTTGTCACCCACCCACCACTTCACGGTCGTTGCGAAGACTTCTTGTTAGTTTTCGTCTGAGTAGTTTTCGCTCCTCATCATAATCGGAGTTAGCCGGCATCAGTCTTCTTGCGTCAATCAGTTCGGATGAGGCAGTGGAGATCTAGTGGCTCTTACTAACTTTAGGTTTTAGCTTATTAACAGCTTTCACAGCTGATATCACATGGATATTTTTCCTTCACCTTCAGAAAGTGGAAAGCATTTGAAATACTGGTCAATTTTAAAAATTGCAAAGAATAATATAGTTACACAAATAAAGCGAAATTATAAATGCAAATATATTCCAATGAAGTTTTTCAAAACATATTATTTGCCAAAAAGGAATGAGAAATATAAACTGTTTAGAGAATATATTAGAAAGGATGTATCTGATATTATATTCTGTTTGTGAAAAATAAAATAAATAAATAAATGAACAGCAAATACAATGAACGCAAGGATGATTTCAAACCGCGAATAAATGCAAGAAAGATGAAAGTTTTCTAAAAAGTGAAACTTTTCAGAAAATGACTGATAACAAACTGGCTATGCATTATATAATAACAGTCAGAAAGGGAGGTTAACATGCTTAGTTCTAAATTTATGTTAAGTGAATATGCAGCTAATAATGTGTCTTCCAGATCGTTGTGAAAAAAATTGGTAGCTTCATTGGGGTTTATTGTTTCTGAGCGTTACTCGGGAATCATCTAAAACAAATTAGACAAGACTTTATATAAGGATCAATTTAAAATACTTGTCGAACATTGTAACTGAACAAAGATGTTAACCACTGAGATGGGTGGACAGTTCTTCAACTCCTCCCCCAATCTGTTCATAATAATCTCGACCTATAGGTATCACTTCGATGATGACGGATTGCTGTTCACAAGGAACGTTTTGTGAGTGTATCACGACATACGGGGTTAACACAACCTACAGCAAATAATGTAAATTTTCGAAATATTGCAACGGGGTTACTGATTCATCCAGTCTGAGATTGCGTCTTGATAAAAGTCATGGCTTTAAATCAAATAGGCTAGAGACTGGAGCTTGATACCTATATAAACATAACGCATAAACGTTATACCCAAAACGATGACCACGTGTACGAAGTCACTCCATATTCAGGGAAAAATATGAGATGTATTTAGATTTAGTTAGATCGAGAATGGAAATAACTGCAACAATGTTCTAGGTCAATAGTCATACACCACCCAGTGATATGAAACACTTTTACTAACCTTCAAACCTTCACCTCTCCTCATAAATAAAACGAAATTAGCCTCTAATGAATAGAATTTATTGTGTACATTACGAATAAAATACGTACAGCAAACAAAAACCACACCGGGTTCCACATCCAATGAAGTGTCATAGATGAGTACTACTAAAGAGTCCCATACTAGTGTGAAGCAACTGTCTGGTACTCTCTCTAGTCTTCAATGATTCTCTAACTGACTTCAATCAGGTCGTGATTTAACTTATAAGCTGAATAAATTTTCTAAAACGTTACTTACATGTTCATGTGTATAATTGGTGTTTATGATTAAATCTCACACTTTTATATCCAATATAGATAAAAGATATTGAAGTAGAACATAACACACACAAACACACAATAAATGCAACAGACATTTATGGAAGTGGAAGAAAAAACACACTATATATATATATATATATATATATATATATATATATATATATAGTGCTGTTTCACATTGGTCATCTTTCTGTAAGTACTGGCAAAGACATCAAGATCAACCTTAGAAAAACTTTGATGAACAGCCTACATAGACAAATCTAAGCATTTAGAAGGAAATACAGTCAAGTCAGCCAATGAAACTGCCAAGATTCTAGGTGATTTTATTTTAGCCATTCAGAAAAAAATAATTAGTAAATATCCACCATCGATATGAATAATAGTGGAACAATGAAATCTACATGAGGGATATAAGAAAAACAAATCAAAACAGTAGTATTATATGAAGGCAGAGGTGAATCTCATATTTACTTGAAGATAACGCGTTATACCCAAAGAATCAAGGCTACCTGTCTATAATCAATTGTTCCTTCCATATTAGAGATTGTACAAAATCGATAGGCACAAAGTGAATAATACTTAGAGATACTGAACGACTAGCATTAATGAATAGGAGAGTAAGGGAAAAAGAAAGTGACTGCGTATGTATATAAAAAGCAATAGCTAAAAATTCCATACCTCATATGTGTACAATTTATTATTATAATGAAGAGTTGAAACACTTTTAAAAACTTCTGTCACACCATAGACGTATGATGTGAACGTGATGCGGATTCCGTAAGCTCAGGTAATTCCATTTCAAGCCATTCTCTCAATAAACTTGCACAAGAATAGAATCCTTGCCTCTGATAAACATTGGCCAAATTCCGAACTGCACTATAGACAACGGATCTAAAATTGCAAATAAAATGAAAGGAAACGACCAGTTTTATTTCACTAGTGAAGACCATTCCATTATAATGTAATGAACACAATGTGAAGTCTAAGACCAAAGATGAAAACAAGCATTTAACATATTTTGTCAGAAACACTACTTAGAAGAGACGACAAATCCTGATGGGTTTTTGTAGTATTCAAGAGCAAAGACTGAGAGTTACCAGCTAAACTGCCTAATATATATATATATATATATATATATATATATATATATAATTCCTGACATCTTTGAAAGATCACTAAAAATAGGCCAATGATAAATTGATGTCACTAACCATTAAGTACGGAAGAAACATTCTCTATCATCACTTTCTAAGGCATTGGGAAGGCCACTTCGTTCAAATAATCGACCCACGAAATTTATGGTTCTATCCCTTCCTGTTTTGACAATTTTTTTTCTTTCCTCCTAAGTATATTAACTGACCTAGTTTTAAAAATCATATACATGTATATATTAATCTCACCTAGTTCACCAATCGATCCTAATCCTAGAAAAATAGGGAACACTGGGCTTGAGAATTCTACAGACATACACAAACAGTAATGGACAAGACACCAAATAGCGACATAAAAACCCTATGAATGAATGGGAAACTGAGAGCAAACAACACAACTGATAATAGGTGAAGAGGCTCTCAGAGAAACCAATGAGAATGAAGAACTCTTCGAAGACTTTTGCGTTTTCAATGATTTGGTGACTAGAGGCAGCGTGTTTAACCACAAAGATATACACCAGGTGGATTTCATCTCGGATTTTCAACACTTGTGTCGAATCATGAGAAAAAGGCACAAACAGAGAAGAAAATTTTCTTCGAATCAGTCAGTACTTCTATATGGTTGAAGGACTTGGGGAGTCACAAAAGCATTTCCAATAGACTGAAGACTTTCATCAACAAATACCTTCCCTGCATACTGAAGATCATAAGGCTAGAAGAGATAAACAACAGGAAAGTGTGGGAACTAACCATCCGAGATCCTGTTACCCAAGAAATATGCTGAAGGAAATGGAGACAGATCAGACACATTCTGAGAAGAGCGCTGGGTGACATCACACTCCATTTTCTCGAGTGGAAGCCGAATGGGAATTGGAGAACTGGGAACCCGAGAGTGACATAGAAAAGACCGTGGGGACAGAAGGTGACTGTTCTGTCTGTCTGTTTTCGACATAGAACTTTGCACAAATGTGCGGAAGTTCAAGTCGCCACACTCCGTGTAGCACGCGAAGCAAGAGAAAGTACAAGAAAAGCATAATAGAAACAGTGAGCAGAGGTGTGAGACAAAGGAGTAATAAAGAAATACAAAACAGTTTCATTGAAGATCATAAGTCACAGGGAGTGGATGCATCTGCGCCACTGAGAACGGTTTTGAGCCATGTCACCAATTGTTTCCAACCATAGATTTTTACCGTCCCGAGGACCCCAGCCTGGAAGTCTACACCTTCCTACGTGGCTCAGACCAACTGTTGTGGATTTTATTGACTGGTGCCAAGACAGAAGGTGACAGTCTACGGACAATCGTGGAGGCATTTGAAGGTGACTGCAGAAAACAAAATGAAGTGGAAATGTGGTGTTGAAGCCCTATGTTCCACTCGTAACTCAATGGAATAATGATAAATTATACATATATATACATCTTCACTTGTGGATGACTAATCCCTTTCGCTGGCCATGACCTTTTACCGTAGTAACAAGACTATGAATCATACATTTTTCGGTCTACAAATGTAAAAACAATATCGAAATAAACATATATTTATCCTTAATAGTCAATACGACTTTCCCAGACTTCTTTTGCAAACAAAGTATTAGCACAAATGAATGGGCAGACAACTAATGACAGGCACAAACAAATGGTTATGGATGAACAATCATGTTTTTATTAATAGGTCACAAAGCACACACACACAGTAGCAAGTGTTAGTAAACAAATACAATTCCTCTAAATAGATGAGTGATACAAGATTACTAGTAGTAGGTTGCACTAAACACAAAATCTACATTCTTTTACTATCCAATATACCTATCGATCTACACGAACAAAGATAAAATGGTTGCCTATTGAAAATATCCACAGTAAAAGTATTACAACTTACAATTCTATTTTTGCTTCTGATGCCCATTTAACAAGTGAAAACTTCTGACTGATATCATTGTCTTTAACATACTGTTCCACGATAACCCATAAAGGTTCAACTCGTCGTTCAGATGAATTCATTAGGATAGATGGTTCTGTTGAATTGCATGGTGAAACACCTTCTATGTATACACCACGATCACTGTTACTAAGTGGGGATAAAGAATAAATTGCAGAATCTTGGTCAACACTCTCTGATTGTGATAAACTGTTCTCTTGGTTTTTTGGTTGCAGTGAAGAATTATATTGATCTGGTGTTAAAACTGCTTTCAGGAGAGATTCAGCTTCTATTACATTGTCAAGTTTCAATAGAACAGAAGCCTATATACGCAAAGAGAGAGAGAGAGAAAGTAAAAATCCTAGGGTAAGTAAACAGCAAAAAAACTTAGAAATTGCAACTGATTTCATTTGAGAAAACAAAACATGGAAATGCTGTACCTGCGGGATCGACAGGTGCGAAAGGTGGCACTTGTTACTCTGAGTAGTAAGCTTAATGAATCAGTACGAAAGAATCTCCACTGCTCGTTTACAAATCTCTAAATATACATATTGATAGTCCTTAATCGGCTACATTTTCCTTTTTCCTGAGGTTCACTTCCTGTATAGACTTATGTTTCATCATTAAGACTACTATTATTCTTCGTTGCTTGCATTACGAAAGGGATAAAGGGCTTTGACAGCATAGCTCCATTCTATTCAGTTGTCTGATGTCTTTCTAACTGGTCGCACGACTGTTCACAGTGTCTCATTTAATTTTCACACGATCTTATCTATGACTCTCAAAATGTGAATTCCTATTCAGGTTCAACTCGATGGTTTATATTGTGTGTAATGTCCCCTAAGCGTATGTCCAATCTACCTCACTTTCTCTCTACATACTTAGTGTATAGTGGGTAATTGGCTTGCTCGCCACTACAGTTCTGTGATACTCATCATAAACAACCTGCTATCTGATATTCAGCATCGAGCAAGGACAGGTACTGATTAAAGTCTGCAGCCTGTTAAAAAGGCTTTAGCTGACGCACTTAGTCTCCGAAGCATTTAGAAGCACTGAAATGACATCATTGTCAACAACTGGGATCTTGCAACTGGTATTGAATACTTCAGATTTCAACAGCACATCCAGAGATCTTGCTTTGCCGATCCTGACTGACTTTTACGTTTTCATCCATGCCCCAGTAGGTGAAAGAAACGTTTTCCTTCAGATTTCTCCAGTCGATGGTGACTGATGCCTGTTGTTGTTGGTTGGATATCTTTACCACTCTGTCTACTATTTGCTCACACTGAGTCTCTTTGTGGTTGCCTCTTATACCAGGACATTGGTTTCCGCTTGTAAATATTTCTGGGCAAATGAGACAAAACCCAGAACTCCTAATGTCTGTTTCCGGTCCACCGTATACCCGCCTTTTCGCTCCTCACTATCTGTTGCATGATTCTGTCCACCAAAACCAACTATACAATCGGTGACAGCAGACAGTTTTGTATTACTCCTGGCTTCACTGCAAAGGCTTCCATGAGTTCTCCGTCGCGAATAGCTTTGCATATAGCATGATTATGCTGCTGATAAATGAGGTTGATAAAAGTTTGGGATACTACATTCTGTAGTGTTGGAGAAATACCAGATTACTTCGATGCTATCGTAGGCCTCCTCAAAGTTGATGAAGTTGGTGCTGACGACATCAGCTAAACTGTTGCTGAAACATCCACGAACACATATCAAAGTTCAGAGAAAAACAAATTCAATTATATCTTAACTGATCTTAATTTTTATGCATACAAATAGTCGTCGCTGGATCATGGTATTCAAGGCTGAACAAATATCGAGTTACAAAAAAAGGTACTTAAAAAACTGATTGTTTGAGGTGAGTAGTTATCTACGACTCAAATGTTTGGTAGCCAGATCAAAGAGATTCAAACACCAGACGACAGTTTCGTTCGTTCGGGACCAAGTTCATCAACGGTTGAACTCAGCTAAGAGAATCGAATCAGTCTGAACTAGTCAACTACTCACCTCAATCAATCACTAGTATATTATGTAATGCACACATACTCGCTTTCTTAATTTCCATTTGTGGTATCAAGCAGATCATATACTGTGAGCTGAATAATTTCGGTTCCCCAAGGAAACTGTGATGAAATTTCACCTCAGAGTAGTGTAAGCTGTAAATTAATTTGTACATTATTAACAGAATTTATGTCCATGGGATAAATAAAATAATCCAACTATGTTGACTCCAACATGTGGAGAAGAAATATCAGTGAAATGCATGAATTCATGATTCCACTGAGGAGAAAATCACACTCTTTGCACATGAACAACAATATCAGACAATAGATTCCTATTGATAGGATTCCACACATTTTGGTATTGACTGTTAATCCTGCATATATGGTATATCATCATTCCCAGACATTTTGTTATTGACTGTTAATCCTGCATATATGGTATATCATCATTCCCACACATTTTGTTATTGACTGTTAATCTCGCATATATGGTATATTATCATTTCTCACGCACTTTCTTATTGACTATTACGATCAATTATTATTAGCTGTCTATATTGTTGTAAAATGTATAAATACCATGACTTTCTTTGTCGTTGTTGTTGTACTACAATACACAGTCACAGTCCACTCTTTGTCTTTTGATATTTGCGTGCTTCACTGAATCGGAAGGTACCACAAGCAGATAGGCATATTAGTCAGGCGCAGACAGAACAAGGCGACAACGTCCTCATCTAATTCCCTACAGTTATAACACCTATGGTGAAGAATATATAAACTAATGTATACGAAAATAATTGCACATTCAACTTTTCGACGGAAATGCCTAATATGAAGGCATAAAATAGCTCTATCAGTCAAAAAAAAAATAACACGATACTTTTCGAAGAAAAAAAAATTAAAATTTGACCTACAGAGCAGACAGTTAATATGCTTAAAATATATACACACATAGCATACTACTACAAGTTACTACAAAGGTTAACGTACCAAGTCTCGTTTAGCTTTGCGCATTACCAGTGATGACGGTTTATGATGTTTTGAATATATATCTAAATTGCGCCGATATATGGATGCCACCTATTGAGGAAGTTACATAAAGCAAAGAATAATTATAATTTGTAGTTAAGATTAGAGTAATGTTTTCATGACCTGGAGGATAGGATAGGATAAGTACAATCCATTTTAAACACTTTTTTTCAAGGACATAAAATGAGCAAAACAATAATTAAGTTGCACGGAAAGATACATATTCACAAATAAAATACACAAAGCAAACGATGCATACATAATACATTTATAAAACAATTGTCTAATCAGTTACAGAAAAATCGGCGCCGACTGAAACAAATACGATTATAGGCGATACTCATTTCATAAACGGATAAAGCCATATTAGAGTCACAAACAAAAGAAAATGTAGTAGTGAAGAAAACTTCCCTCTCTATGAATCATTTCCAAAAGCGGTCCAGTCACATTCATTTTCAACAAAACCAATCAAATACCGGTAGGTATGTCCTAGAAAATGTATTACGTAATGTGAGATTTGGTCTAGAGGGGAGTGACTACATGGAGATTAAGAACACAGAAGTTGGAATTACGTATTAAGAGCGAGAAATAGTGACCTAATCAATCTAAATAGATAAAAGACGGTGAAAATAGGGTAAAGTGTTTATATTAAATCTACTGGTAAATGCAGTGTTGTATCCGCTTTTACCATCTCGCCAACAAACTTATGAAATGACGCCGATCATATAACCATCAGAATACAGTAATACGTATTTATGCTTTTACTATGGGTAACCATTTTGAAACTTTTTTTTCTGACACCTATACAACGAACTTTAGTCAGCAAGTATCTTTGCCATAGTGAGTGAAACATACCAGCTATAGGAATTAAGTTTCTCTTCATGTCTAGGAATGGACGACACATTTGGTATAACTAAAAGTCGAATCAGTCTAATTTATTCACTTTAATTTATGTACACAGTCAGGACCAAGACACCCACTACACACGGACATATATATATATATATATATATATATATAAGCACAGATTAAAAATGAAAAGAAAACAAATTTTTTAAAGATTCACGTAGTGCATTAAAAGCTTTCAATGCTTTCATGTAAGTAAAAGAACATATTCTGTTGAAAAACAAATGTAGAATTCGAACAAAAAGTACTGTATGTGTATTTATAAGCACACAAATACATGTTCCCAAGATGGAACTGCTAACAATCAATATGCGACAGATGCACGTGAAATTGTGCTTAATTTTTATACTGGCCATTGCTATATATATCGGAGAACAGGCGGATGAACACAGTTTCTACGAATATAGAAACAGAAATTACCAACTAGTTTCTGCATACGTAATTTCTCGTATCAAAAGTACTGTTTGGAATAAAGTTATTATCATTATTGGATGCTGGTACAGGGAAGTATTGACATTAACATTTGGAACAAGTAATTTTTTACGCCAACAAAGTAAAAAATTGAGAGGAAGATAATAGAAAGTAAGTAAACAAGACAATTCATTGACATAAAAGGTGTACATAATCAATGCCTGTAGTCACTGACATTTTACATCTCTCTGATGGCCAACAAACAAGAAGCATATACTTTATAATCTGACTACTAAATACAGTGATACACTGTTGGACGAAGATAGAATTGTTTACAGTCTTTATGCTTCATACAACTTTTGATACCTTTCAATGTTTAGTAAAATGAGATGTTACTCAGTAACCATTTGAAGTTACCTACACCTGGATTCTACTTCGGAACAGACTTCACTGATCAATAGCTATGCATCCTAAGTCGTAAGATGTGAATTGTTCGCAAGGTACAAATACTCCACTTGAATGTGGTTATTCGCTTGCTTACGTCCAACAAGTAGTAGGAAACCTCAGACATTAGATTTGTGCAGAATTAGCACATAACATGATCGGATATTGTTTACACGAAAAATGAAAACGAAAGAGCAATAGACAACAATATAGTCTTATTTCTAAGTGCTTTAGTAAAGTGAGGCTATGATACCACCCGGGATAAAATCCAAAAAGAAAAGCACGTCACTGCTCAGACATTTACTTGGTTTTTGCAGATCTTAGATAGCAGAGAATTTAAGATACAACATGACTACCACTGAATGTCGTCAATTATGGTCACACTCCAAATCGGTTAACTACAATAACCATGACTTCTCAACTGTGAATTCGAAAAACCCATCTAGGAACACACTCCTTGTAAACACTAGCTGATTTCAAGTAATTTGGTGGATGATGACTAGCAGTAGGATCTAGGATGCGCATTTCGTCCTATTTGGGACTCATCAACGGATTCGCCTGCATCTCCCAGTAAGGCTCGAACCCAGCATCCATCGCTTTAAGAGCCAAAGTGTTATCCACTAGACTACTTGAACCACGAGAGCCACTCCTTGTGCAACGGATGATTATTTGAACAACAGGTGAGGCGAATTAATCTAAACCTTACCATTGAGATTAAAAGTGTTTAAAAGTCATTTAATCAGCTACCTTTAGAAACCACCATTATACCTCAGTTATGTTTTATACAAACAATGTCTGATATACAATGGTAGCATAGTTTTATTCAATCTGGACACATCAAGGCAATTTAGTTTTTATAGTTCATCATTCTTTTTTTTCCAAATTACATGCTGCATACCACAGACTGAATGAGTCAAAATCGTTGTTTATCAACCGAAAAAGCAATATACAATAAAGTAAAAATAGTAAAACTCCTAGTTACTGTATTCAAAACTAATCTGATAATATAAACATCAAGGAAAATAAATTACTAATAGAATAATATACACTTAGAATACAATAGCATACCGAGAACTAATATTATTATTATGTATTGTGATTGTAACGATTTAAGGTGGTATTTAACCGTGTCAAGTAAAGCAAACGTCCACATCCACGTATACTAACACACATAGATTGATAAGTAACATTTCAGGAAATTCCAGGAAAATATCAATGAATATCGACTAAACTAGCATTTCGGGAAAAAATGCCACAGCATACATAGAAACACTGCTATGCTTGTTCATCAAGAAGTCTTTCATGTCTAGTTTTTGGACTGTAAAAAAACGCAGAGTGGTTCGTTGGATGGCTGAGTGGATATATCATTATTGGAAATTAATATGTCCAAACGGGAATTTTTCGCGTACATTATTGTTTTTATTATTATTACAACATAGAAATGGTACATAATCGGCACCAAGATATGCGCCACATAAAAATGGTAAAAAAACCAATATACAAGGAAACTATGAATGGAATAAATAAAGGAGATCACTCAGAAAGGAAGTAGGCATACTTAACAGGATCATTCATCATTCATTACTTCATGCTACTTTCAGAAACGGAAGAAACAAGGAAATTACAGCATCTCCATCCATGATAACGATTAGTGGTCATATCTGATAACGTCTCGAGCCATCGATTTGAATTGTCTCTCAGACCCCACTTAGACAGTCGTGATGTTACTGACGTATGTTAACTTAAGACACATATCCTTCGCTCCATTCAGCCCCACGATAAGCGAATAGCGAGCGGTATACGAGTATATGGGATGACATTCGTAGTACATGTCCAAGCCACCAAAGTCAGTTTTTCAAGATGACTACATTGAATGAATGATGATCTCCATTGTGTACAAAAGCACAGACTGAAACGTCAGAATTAGTTACAGGACAATCCCCTCCGACGCAATCAATTTTGTGGAGGTAGTCATGATCTAATACGCAGAGTCATCGCACATCCTCAGCTAGGAGAGGCCAGATTTCTCAGGTGTAGAGAGAGACTGCACACACCGAAGAATGGTAAACTCGACCTTTGACAGGTTAGGCTAACACCGTGATGGTGCCACAGGTAGCCCAGGTTTTGGCTATACAGTTAGAGATCCTACATATTACAGTTTCACTAGCATTCATACAACTACCTAGATACGAACTTGTCAACAACAATAAGCAGTTCACATGCGAGGGTGAGTGCAGGTACGGGTTCCTAACAGTCTTGTAGCAATACTTAGCAATTAGACGGCGGCTTCCCACGACAATTTTCATAACGCCTTTTAAGCGCAGCCAGTATCCATTTGTAGGATTACCAGATATGCTTCAGTTTAACTCAGTTCAGTGCTTCACAGAGGTAGCAGATGATACTAGTTTACCTACATCAACCTGTAGATACCATTTATGATCACCACGAGATCCCAAGATGAGCCTACCACAAACTAAAGCAAGGTCAGAGTCCAGTGATGTGCTCCAGAAAGAGCGGTAGTCCTGCATGCATCTACACCATTGGAAACTGATAACAATATGATCGATATGAGTTCAGGCTTGAGCGGCAGTTGGAAACACCAGGTAGCACTACGTGATGCCCGTGCCAAAAGTTGGTATTGGCTAGAATAGGTTGTAATCTGCGCAAAACTGAAGATAGTCTCCACTATCTGACCTGTGACTTTTTGGTCCCTCTAGACGACTTCCTTATTAGCCCAGACGCCAGACCTGTGCAGTCAAGTCCTCAGCTAGTGATACGATATCTCTTCAACGCTCAGTCAGTAGTGAAACTCACACTTAATTGGATCCAGACTGCAATTCATCGGTGCAAAAGTAGAGAGGACAAATGGGCACCGCTCCTCTGGCCGATAGCTCCTTACTCTTGTATAACCTTCTAGCGTCACAGCACGTAAACGGCTGTTAATGGGGATCCAATCGAGTACTGCATATTCGGATCTAGCACTTATGCAACACTAACTCCAGCTAAACTGCGAGCGGACGCCACAGACAAGGATACGTGGTACACATCACTTGGTCTTGTAGATGGAGAAGATATTCGAAGCACTTCACTGAGATCTTAAATGCGAACCTTTAAAACGCAGAAGACATCCATAGCAAGACTTCGCAATGTCCTAACAAGATCTGTTTGTTGTTCGGTTTCCATTAGTATGTGAAGAGTTTGAGTATCGCATGTCCAAGCAATTAAAGTTACTTTTCAGGAATTATTACACCCATTATATTTTAAAGCCATGTAAAGATTATATGCGCGAATGTAGTCTGGGAACGCGCACTGCTACCCGACACACTCCGTCTGAAAGGACAAAGTACAGCAGAACTGTCCGTGAGTTATTCTGACTCCGCGATGATGCGAAAATTACCCAGACTTCTAAACCATTGTCGTCTACGACGTTCAGAAGTGTCTGAGCAGTGTCAATAGTATGGCAGTGCTGGACCTCAATCTATGTCCTATCCACTTTAAACCCCAAGGTATTGACAGATACATGGAAGGTTCATGTACATTTACTTTGTTTGTATCCATCATGGTTTACATAAACATTACTAGCCAATTTCCCAAGTAAAATAAATCCATTGAATCTAAGTTATATTCGCCCTGATAATTATTCAGTTGCAAATAAAAAGCTGAAAATAAATTTGAAAGAAAATCTCAATAGACCAGATATATCGATTTGAATCCAATTGCAGCTGATCGATACTGACTGGAGGCAAGTAATAAACTTATTGGACTAGAAAAATTCTTACACTTGAAGTATATTCCATTTAGCTGCATTGAAAACATGCGACATGCATGAACAAAACGCCTACGAATAAATAATTTATCTCTTATATCTCTCTACCTCAGAAACAATATTTCCAGTTTTTGGCTCATTCGTACTAGCCGAACAAATCTCAACGATTACTGAAATAATGTAATTTATTGAAGTAAACTGTTATATTTTTAAATAGAACGGGAGATAAAAAGTATTTTTATAAATGCTATAAGGATGACAAACAAATAAATTCAAAAATGTGACGAGCATAAAACAACTGGTGGAGAACAGTCTGGTGATGAATGTGATGTGACAAGTGGCAATGACTAAGTTATATTCAGCAGTTTAGAAAGATTCCACTATTCTGCTTACAAGTAGAGTGTCTTTGTTTATTTAAGATATTTTGTTATTATTATTGTCTGTAGTTGGTTTGTAAGCATTAGTTTTGTTTTTACGAATTGATCACGGATTGAAATCAGTTAGAGAACCATTGAAACAGCTAGCTGTCCAGCACTCCCTGGTTTCCAATGGTTCTCTAACATTATTATTATTATCATGCCTAGGTTTCCCAATGAACTGCGAAAAACGTCTAAAAAAGGGAAACTTCGAACACTTAGACAAATTACGTGACGGACATGATGAGAAATTCTGCTGAAAATGCTTGTCAGTACATTGCTGTCTTCACTCAATACAGTGTGGGTTATTGCATGAAACTGACAGGTAGTCTATATGCTGATAAGTGATGGACAGTGAATGTTTGAATAATACATTGTCTAAGTGACTTCTAGCATGCGCATTGTATGCCCCATGGTTATATCAAGAGGTGTATTACTTTGAAATATAAATTCAGTCTGTCAGTTACAATGTCTTCACATTATGTTTATCCGCAAACTCCCGCAAATTATAGCTAAAGGAAAACAATCGTTTCGTTCAAGCCAATGTATTGACGTTATGAACGGCTGATAACTGCCCCGTAGAAGTATTTCATACCGGCATTAGGGACTGTGTTCATATCTGTCTACTTGCGATTAAATAACGTATTCCAGACACCTGTAGCAAGTTACTTAGTCTACCGAATCATACTGCATATTGAAACTTGACTAAACAAACCGCAGCGAGTTATTTTAGACCTTGATCACAAAATGATATACTTATTCACGAAATCGCCCTGGCTTTTTTAATCATTGATGTTCAGGTAGTTTGCAGATAACCGGTTGACCTAATTAACACTAATCAACATGAACTGATGACAACCAAAGAGAGTCTGTTACAAACAATTCGTTATAATTCTATACAGGCCCTTAGACAAGAACATCGGATCCAAATAAACATTTACTGGATTAAGTGCAGCAAAAGAAAATATACTGAAAGGTTCATTCTATTAACTATATCCATGATGAATTTGTCTATTATGGGAATGAATCAATTTACTATTGCTACAACAACAACCACAACAAAAAGAAACATTTTCTATTGAAAACATTGAACGTCATGTTAACTCCTCAGTGTTGATAATATATCGAGGACACTACAAATGCTTGTGATCCCAACAAATATGAAAATAATAAATCAATTCAGATTATACTACAATGACACTTAAAATTTTAATTATTTTTGTGAAGTCAGCGACTAAATAACAGAAGAAAACATTGCAACTGAAATAAGAATATGATTATTTATGACCTAAAATTTGGTAGGACTATTTAAGCTCAGCTAATAATATGATTATTCCACAACTAGTAGAAATTCATATGGATTTATCTGCTGAATATAGTAATGAACAACTCAAGACACACAGACCTAGGGCTTGTATTTTTAAAAGAAACTAACATCCCGAATAAAACTCGCAACAGATTCTGATCTAGATATGATAGAGAAGACGTGTAGCTCAGGTGAATGATTTTGATGTGCGAAATGGTTTAACTGAGAAACATTCATTCTCCTTACAGACAAAGTTGATGTATGCGGAGCGGGAATCGAATCTGACACTCATTCACTGGCTGAAAGCCATTCCACCATAATTTTGGACTCTTCGGTGAAGCCCACAAAAAACACCACCAGGTATTAATCAAGGATCATGAACTTATGATCATTGAACTAAATGGGTGATTTTTTTTAATTCTATTGATTTGTGATACAACACAACTGACCGCCACCTAATATCATCTATGAACACCTGTCTCTAAACATCATCATACCAAATGTGATGACTTTTAATTAGAACTTCGAGAAATTCATCTCGAAGTGGATTGATAATTAGATATATTGAGCCACGTTGTAATAAAAACTACTGTGAAATAAACAATAATGCAGTCAGGCAACCCAGTAGACATTCTCATACTAGGATATCAGTGACAAGGATTTATGAAAGCGTATAATACCGCTTACTTGCCATGTCAGAATGAGTGAATGAATGAAACAGGGTCTTTAACTTGAATGCATAGGTCAAGAGTTGAGTGTTTTAGTTGCTGCGCCAAGTGTTTACGATACCTATCAACTTAAAAAGCTTATTAAATTCCTAAACTACCGAACATCTGCATTGTACTTACACTACAGGCATTATCAACCTTACATTCTGTCTGTCTGGATTCAACATAGAACTTGGCACCGAAGTGCAGCAGTTCGAGTTGCCACCTTCCAAATAGCACACAGAGGTAGACAAGAAGATGAGTGAAGAGAATTAATAGAGTTTGACAAATATAAGAGTGAAACAGAATGGGTAATGGTAGAAAGGAATATGAAAGATTACAGAGATTGAATACATCTGCGCCATTGACAACGATTTTGAGCCATGTCACCTATTGTCTCCAGCCATTGATTCCTAGAGTCCCGAGGGCCCCAACCCGGGAGTCTGCATCTCCCTACCTGACTCAGTTTAACTGTCAAGGATTTCATGGATTGATGCCATGTTTTTGTTTGGCCACCACTGGCTCTTTTCCAACCTGAACCTATATCAGCTAACAATGCCCGTCGGGGGAGGCGGTGGTTAGGCATGCGCACCACGTGACCTAGCCATCTTAGTCTATGTAACTTTATAACCTCGTCGATTGATTTTCCCTCTTTGCCCAACACTCTACGCCTAACGTCAACATTACTTATCTTGTGAAACCACCTAACGTGAGACAGAGATCGCAGACATCTATGATCGAAAGCAGTCAACCTTTTCATGTCTTCAACGCGTATTGGCCATGTTTCAGAGCCATAGAGAAGGACGGAGCGAACTGCAACCTTACATTATTACCTAGTACTCCTGTAAACGTGCTTACCTCTTCATATCTGCAGAAAATAAATAGAAAGTAACAAAAAAAAGGAGGCGAAAATAGAAAAAATGACATAACCCATGGCATGAATGTATTGAAGTTAAGACGACCAATTCTAACATAAAAGATTTAGTTTTGCCAACCATTGTATTTCAGCACTCATATGGACTCTAGTCCAGATATAACAGTATCAAATGATGTGATAGGTATATTTCAATAAAGAAACAAAGATACAAAGTCTGTGTACCTTACCTCTTCAAATTTGCCTTGATTTTGACAAAGCAGAGCCAAATTGTTCAGCTGATTTGTAATACCCAAATGATCTGCACCAAATAACTGTAGTGAAAAATCAAACAGCAAACAACAATCAAACAAAATCCCTACAAAACCAATACTTGAAAATACGATATATTACATGTGTGTTTGCAGATAAGCAATGTAAGTTGAACAGACGACATATTTCGACAGTAACAAACAATAGTCTTAGATTAATGATTTAACACAAAAAGTTAGCTAACACTATTTGCATTTTGAAATCATTGGAATATCGTATGCTAAAAGTGTGTGAATTCACAGAACTCGATGCTGTAAGATAATCTCATCACACACAGTAATACTTTCTAATTTGTAAACGAAATTCAGTATTGCCTGAATGCTCATTGAGGCGAATGCTAAAAAAAAGACAAAAGCCAGACAAATGTGTAACTAAAATATGACTGAACAAAAAATTGGACTTCTTGGCATTCAGCAGACACGTAGCCATACTTTCACACATAAGTGAGACTGATACACATCGCGTTATGAGTGTAGTTACATGAAGATTACTGTTGTTAATCAAATCGCCATAAAATTAACCAGAAACATGAACTTCTGACCTATTTCTAAGGGTTTGATCAGTGGTCAACACGCACTACCACTTCACTCCCTATCTTCAAGCTAGGGATTGAATTAGTCCAGTCCTGTAACATCATCTTACTGTTGACAGGAGAAAATTACATTCCAAACTTTTGAAGACTGCTGCTCAAGGTGTTCAGAAGACTCTGAATTTAATCGGGGTCTTCGCCTAGGAGGATTATATCGTTCGTATATTTTAAGTTAACAAGACAATTCCCGGGTAAGATGTCAATCCCGAATTCGCTAGAGTTAGTCGGGGTCAATCCTGTTAGTATATCTATGATGAAATTAAACAGAAATGGGGACATTAGGCATCCCTGAAAAATGCCACTGATTTTCGTCACTTCAGTTCACATATGAATGCAAAAGTGTACATGCATCTAAATAACGTTACTTTAGACCACAGTAGAGTACCTATGAATTTGCATGCACATGGCAAAGAAAAAATATAAAAAGAAAATATGTGCAACTGAACATGTATACAATTTTTAAGCGTGTTGTTAAAAGTCAGAGATACACAAGATAATGACAACTCATAATTCCAATCAGGTGTTATTAGATTGGTTTCAAAGGATGCAAATTTATCTGCAGATTTCAATAGAATGAAATACACCTTTGCTACTACGAGTGATCGACAAAAGAAAGCAGTAGTAAATATTGATATAAGAATAAAATATTGTTGTATAACACTGTGTGACTTTATCAAAATAAAAATTTTATCTATAGTGGAATTATACTCTACTACATTGCCCAAGTTTTATCCTTATATCAGCAGTAGCTAAGTTAAGCCACACCTTTGAATGATATGCAGATTAAACTACGATAATATTCATAAGTGAGAAGAAGGTTATATCACCTAAGCAGCATCAAATGAAGAATTTTCCCTGAGGAAATCAGAAAATAGAAAACACCATCCACACAGTTAACATCGATTGATTCATACACAAAGTAGTAAATATATCTTACCGTATATGGTTTTGTTATCAACAGAAAATATTAAGTTTTCATTGCAGAAATGTGAACATAAATACACAAATAGAGTTTGATAATCTCACGTTATGAATCCCACTCAGTAAAACTAAGTACAAGCGGACAATAATCCTAAAATATAATCATGCAAAACTAAAAGGACTTTGGGTACAATTCAGTGGTGGCATGTTGCTAAGGCCATTAAAACGTACAGGAGTATGTATTGAAGTGAATAACCATCAGACTGCAATAGTTTCAAAATAAATTCATTCAAAAGAATGCAGTTAATGTAAGTCAAATGAAACACGTGAGCCCATCACAGTTGAAGTAAATAGAGTAGTTATTAAAAATTAAGATCTTTTAGGTGAAATTTAACTACTTACACTAACTTTTACATGTCCAAGATTTCAAGATTGAAGAGGAAATAACACCATTGATTCCGGGACACTTGGAATCATAATAGTGAAGACAAATTTTTGTCACCGATTAATGTCATTTAAACAGATATTGGAAAATAAAAACTAGTGGAATAACAATTTTATCGTGTTTGACAAATTGGACAGTAGAATATATATATATATATATCAGATAAATTTCTCATTATTATCTATTTCTTGAGTTTCGAGTGAAACAAACGGTGGATGCATCTTCATTCCACTCGGTGCTGTACTATAGGTTCCATCTGGCTCCAAGACTGCGCATAAACTTTTATTTCCTCCTCGTATGACCTTCTTTACGTTAGCCTCGGAAAAACGACCGACTTGCCTCTTTCTATTCGGGATTCACTCGACAACCCAGGTGGGGTGTTATGTCACTTGAACGTCTTCTCAGTGCATGTTCAATACACCCCCATTTCCTTCGACAAATTTATCGGGTAAAACGTTCTTCGTTAGTTCTTTGCTGTTGTTTATCCTTCTCTGCAGACTATCTGCTCCTCAGTAGCGAATGAAGGTAGGTGTTGATGAGATGTGAACTGGTTCCCAGTCAATAGGTCACGAGTTCGGGTCGTGCCCCAATTACTTCAGCCTAGGTGACTAGGTAGTATTATTAGCCCTCACACGATAAGTGTGGTTGTTAGTCTGGTACATGAAAAATCTACTCTGGGTAATTGAACTTTGAGATGGTGATGAAAGTCTGTAATAGCCTGTTAGAAACGCTTTTGCTGACGCGTGCGCTGATTCTCTGAATCATCAAGAAACAACGACGTGAAGTGACTGTAAACAATCTGTATCTTAGACCTTGACCTGGATGTTGTCAATCTTAACACCAGTTTCAAAGTAACGAAAGCCTATCTTGATTTCCTTAGCTGATCTCTGCTGGTTCTGATGTCTTTATCCGTGTAGCATGTAGATGAAAGGTCTGTGTCGGGTAATTGAAACAGATTTTTTTCCATTAGCGAAACAATAATACCCTTATTATAGTTAATACACTTCCATCGAATTAAAAAACAGCACAACGTAGGCTGTAATCATCCCTATATTCTCAACCTTCAGTTGGGGGGCCAAAAGTTTGAACTCTGTTCCACTGAACTTCTTAAAGGACCAAGTCTGTAGTTGCTAAGCTGACTGTGACTTAATCATCATACTATACAACTTAATTCAAACAAATTTGAGATATCAAGTAAGCGAGAAGTTACTTATGCGACATCAATATATCAATCAAACAACAGAAGGCTAAATGAAGAGGCAATCGACTCTTGAACAGTAGCGTCGATTCATCTGACAATCAGATGAAAAGGATAAAATTATAGGAGAAAGGAAGTAGGAATTTATAACTAAGATAATTCATTGCCAAATCGTTAGCATAGTTTTTTTTCATACAGAGTTTATCATGAAAAGAAAACGTGGAGCAGAACGATCAATAGACTTTGTAAAAATCAATGACAATATCGCAGTCGAATTAAATATAGCAACACGAAACAATCAGCTAAAGACAATATATCTATTGGAAAAAGAAGGTAGAGAAATAATAAGTGGTAAGTTCACAGCCTCTGCTCGACAGAAATCGTTGATAAAATTTAATATTATTCTTACTAATTCTATGAAAGTTGATTGACATCATTGATAAAAATTTGGAGATTAAAAATAACAACGTAGTAACAATAAAAGTACTTTACAGGATTTATTCACCTGAAATTTGGCATTTCTATGTCTACATGCATCATATGATGAGTTCAACTCAGTGATGTTAAACAAACCCTTCACCTCTTTCCTTGGTTTGCTTGTTTTTATATTTAAAAGTCCAACTTCGTGCATAATAGAAATGATAAAATATCGCCCATTACTACAGATAATGAAATCAATGATCTCACTCCAGTGGACCATCATAAACAAACGGTAATAAAGTACACTCAGTAATCGAAAAATAAAGTAGGATATGGTCAGGTAACTGACTAACATTTCGAATTTCGACTTTTGTCCAGATGTGGTGCAGACTATTTTGGAATTTATTAAAACTTGAGAATTTCTTGTTGTACCTGATGGGATGGCCCTATAGAGAACAGGTGTATCATCTTGTTTCGAGGAACATACAAGCTTCGATGGGTAGCAGCTGATACCTAAAGTACAAGGGGTAGTTATTGTAGTTTACCAGGTGAATAAACAGAGATTTGGCATTTGAGACAATAGGTGTTTAGTTCTAGTCTCAGTCGAAATAACACTGCTGACGAATACCAAATGGGACGAAATGCGATTCCCAGATTTCATCTTATCAAATAAAAATATATTTCGAAATGAATACTTTACTATTACACGCTATTTCACAACTTCGGGTTTATTTAAAGCAAAACCATAAGACTGATTGACACTACTCACATAAACCAGTAGTGCTCGTTAATCAAGCAAAAGTGATACAAAAGTTGGATGGTCGTCTCGCTATATTGGGGCCGAGCTCATCAGCAGTGCGAATTGAGAATTTTAAGTAGACTTGAAACATGAAATTCACGTCAATAGAGAAATGATTCACACTTTTATACTCTTCGTGCAACAGATTTCAGACAATCTTAATTCACGTGCTTCAAACAAAAATGACAGAATGTTTTAAAAGTGTACACTAACAATAATAACTGAATTTGTGGATCAAATATACGTTTTCGAGGGTTGATTTGCAAGGATTTGATTTGTTTTCCGAATTTGACCACATATTGATATTGGTTAGAGAACCAGGGAGTAATGGACAGCTGTTTCATCCTAGAATTCATGGGTCATTGAATCGGGTCCCACCGGCTGAATGATAAACGAGCTCGCCTTGTAACCGAAAGGTCCTGGGTTCGAACCCCAGTGAGTGCGTACTGCCGATAATTCCCACATAAGGATGAAACAGCTGTACAGTACTCCCTGGTTTTCAATGGTTCTCCAACTGATATCAATCTGTGGTCAAAACTGGAAAACCAAATATGTGTTAAATGTTTTAAATACGACAATAATAATTAATAGCAATAAAATTATTGATGTCAATGATGATAAAAGTACAAG